AGAGAGGATGGCCAGCTTGCTCTTCTAGCTTCTGAACTACATTTCCCAGAAGCCACCGGGAGAACGAGCTTCCCACCCTTCCCGGAGACTTTTGGAATACATTTCCCAGAATTCCCCCCACAGCAGGGAGGACCTTCCGGTATTTTGTTTTTGGGGGGGTCAGTGGGACAAAATATCTGACAGGAAGGACTTTAGGAAAGTCTTTTGGCCCAGTTTTTTTTTCAAGATTTTATCTATTATGTATACATTATTTGTATTATTTATTTATTATTATTTATATATTTATTATTTATACATTATCTATTATGTATACATATTATTTATCTATTATGTATACAACATTCTGCTTCCATGTCTATCTGCACACCAGAAGAGGGCACCAGATCTCATTACAGATGGTTGTGAGCCACCATGTGCTTGCTGGGAATTGAACTCAGGACCTCTGGAAGAGCAGCCAGTGCTCTTAACCTCTGATCCATCTCTCCAGCCCCTTGGCCCAGTTTTAAAGGGGCATCAGTTCACCACGGTTCGAAAGGCGTGTTGGGAACAGGTCTTCTGTCTTGGGCATCTGTAAATACATTTACTTCTGGCGGCTGGTTCCAGAAGCAGAGAAGGAAAGCTAGAACCAGAAGTGAAGGCCTCCCCTGATGAAAGGTTCAGAGATTACTCTGGCCTGCCCCTGTTACCTGGTGGAGCAGGCAGTACCCTGGTCAGCCCAAGGTTCCATGGGAACTGAGTCTGCCCGCAGGTGCAGAGGACCCCTTTAAAGACAGATCCCTGCCCATTTACTCTCTCTGCTTCCTCGATGTTTCCTCTCTACTCTCTCTCTCACCTATGCGCTCTCTCTGTGGCGACCAGCCATGGTGGTCAGCCATTATCCCTGTTCCTTTCCTCTTCTTAGTCTCTCTACTCTGCCGGGCCTTATAATAAACTTATAGTCAACATGTCTCAGCATTTCTCTTTTCTTTTTTTTAAACAAAACAATAACACCTGAGGCCCCATTTCCAAAGTTTCAGTGACTTGGGGTTGAAGAGCCAAAACGCCACTTCAAGCCTAACCCTTCCCCCAGCCTTAGCTCCTGGAGACTATGTTGTAAGCAACAGGCCCAGGGTCAAAACCAAACACGAAGGAACCCCAACCCCCCAGCCTCCGAGATACTTGGATCCTGGGGACTGTTTGACTGCCAAAGAAACTCCCGTGGAGTCTCCATGAAATTCAATTCTGAAAAATATTGGTACAATAGGCCACCTGCAAGCCATAGGAACCACAGAATGTTCCATCCCAGCACCAAACTACGAGGAAAATGGGCACACGGGTATTACACGCCAAAAGCATGACTTTGAAAAATTTCTTGATCCCCAAGTGTCAACCAATCAGAAGCCAATCCGTACCTGGAACTTTTGTCTTTAAAACCTAGCAGTAGACAGGGAACTTCACCCCCTCTGGAGGCAGCTGCTACGTCAGATTGCTAGACGGGGTCCCTCCCGTGGTGTACGATAAACAAGTTAATAAACCTTATGCATTTGGGTCAGTGGTGTGCCTCCCTGGTCTCTTTGGGGATCCTTGTGACACAAGTGTTCAATGCATGAGTCTGGGGCCATTTCCCATCCAGTCCACACTGTGCACAGCATGGAGGAGCATCTGCCAGGTTAACAAAGCTCACCGTCAGAAAAGATAATTGAATCTATAAAGCATAATGCAAACAAAACAAGAGACAAAGTCCCAGAAGCCAGGAAGCACCCTGGAAAGGTTGGGGGAAAGACACTAATCTTAAGACAGTATCAAGCTGATACTGCAATTGACAGTGCTGAGTGGCTTTCTGTTTTGTCTGCACTGGGGATTGGACCCAGGACCTGAGCACGACAGGGAAGTATTCTTAACACAGAGCTAACCACAAAGTGGGTTTTTTCTTTTGATTTGTTTTGATTTTTTGAGACAGGGTTTCTCTGTAGCTTTGGAGGCCGTCCTGGAACTCTCCCTGTGGACCAGGCTGGCCTCAAACTCACAGAGATCCCCTGCCTCTGCCTCCCGAGTGCTGGGATTAAAGGCGTGCGCCACCAACGCCCGGCACAAAGTGGGTTTTTATATTTTGATTGTTCCCTAGTTTTAAAGGCTGTGAGGGTTCCTGTTCCAAACAGAAACTTACTTCTCAATGGTTTCAAAGGTACCTTTCCCCCATTTGCTGGAAAATATTCAAAAAGCCGTGGTCAGTCACCCTTCTCAGAGTTCTTGTAACACTTGAAAAAGGTCAGGACTGCAGCCAAAAGCTTCTTGGGATAATTAGCAGAGTGAAAGGAAACACTTGGGTGTGAGAAGCAGAAGCACTAACCTGATGATCACACTTTTTTTTGAAAAATGATTAAAAGAATTCACACAACAGGCCAGTGAGATGATTGAGTGGGCTTGCTACCAAGCCTGACAGACTGAGTTTGATCCCTGTTTCCCCACAAGGTGGAAAGAGGGAACTGGATCCCAAAAGGTGCCCTCTGGTCTCCACTCATATGCTACAGCATGCTTCTGCTGGCATGTGTGTGTCCCCAAACACACTAAACTGTTTTTAAGTTTTACTTTACGTGTATGAACTCTTTGCCTACGCGCATGTATGTGTGCTATATATTGGTCTTCTAGACCTAAGGTTAAAAATGGTTTTGGGGGCTGGAGAGATGGCTCAGTGGTTAAGAACACTGGCTGCTCTTCCAGAGGTCCCCAAGTTTAATTCCCAGCAACCACATGGTGGCTCACGACCATCTGTAATGAGATCTGGTGCCCTCTTCTGGCCTGCAGGGATGCATGGAGGCAGAGCACTGTATACATAATAAATAAATAAATCTAAAAAGAAAAAATTTGGTTGTGAACCAGGCTCTGGGAATCGGATCCTTTGCAAGAGCAATGAGGATTCCTCACTACCAAGGCATCTCTTAAGCTCTCACACTCCACTGTTTTAAATGTCATCCAAAGCAAAAAAAGAACGCAGGGGACACAAGCCTTTTCAAACATTATTTTATAGAACGTTTTTCCTGAACCGATTCCTTGATGTTTTTGCCATCTCGTGCGCTCTTAGAAGGCCTACTGCTGCTGTGGATTCTGTGATGAATTAGAAGATTTGACCGCCAACCAAAGCTCTTACCACAAACCTCACACTTGTAAGGTTTCTCCCCTGTGTGAACCCTCTGATGAGACTGTAGCTGTGAAGAGCGGCTGAAGACTTTCCCACACACGTCACATTTGTAGGGCTTCTCTCCGGTGTGGACTCGCAGATGGACCTGAAGATTGGAATTCAGGGTATAGCCTTTACCGCACACAGTGCACACGTAGGATTTCTCTCCCGTGTGTATGCCCTGGTGGGCCTGAAGACTCGAAGGGCGACTAAATTCTTTCCCACAATCCACGCACTTATAGGGTTTCTCTCCGGTGTGGACTCTCTGGTGAATGTAAAGGTTGGAGCTACAGATAAAGCTCTTGCCACACTCCTCGCATTTGTAGGGTTTCTCTCCCGTGTGCACCCTGTGATGGGACCGAAGGTGGGAATTCCGGCTGAAGCTCTTGCCGCAAGTATCGCATTTGAAAGGCTTCTCCCCGGTGTGGAGTCTCTGATGGTCCTGAAGGTGAGAGGCCTGACTGAAGGCGCTCCCACACGCCTCACAAGCATACGGTCTCTCCCTGGTGTGGACTTTAAAATGAACATTAAGGGCTGACCGGCAGCGGAAGAATTTGCCGCATCGCTCGCATTCGTACGGCCTGGCTTCAGTGGTGACCTTCTGATGGCTGCGTGGAAGTGGATTATGACCGAATCCCTGGTGTCTTTCTCCCACGCGACCAGCACAACCATCTGTGCCCTGATGGGAGTCTTGCCCACACTCCACACATGAGCAAGACCTGTCTCCCGCTGACAGGCGGTGAGGGGCAAAGCTGGAGAGAGCAGCATACCCGTCATTTCTCTGTCCAGCTCTACTCTGACCAAAGGATGCTGCTGCCTTTATGCTCTCTTTCCCATAGCCACTGGGGCTGTGAGAATCTTTACTTTTGTGGGCTCTGCGATCACTGTGGGAATGTGAAATCCGACCCCGTTCACTTCTCGAGGAAATGGCTTGGTATCCGTTCTTAGGTCTCTGTGGCTCAGTCAGGAAATTTTTCTGCCAAGAACCCTGGGTTCTCAACGTTGGAAGCACGGGCCTTCCAGCATCAATGGGAACCTTTGCCTTTTGACTCTGTATAGCGTTCTCGTCTTCAGAAACGTGAGCCGACAACCCTCGACGGACCCGGCAGGGGGAATCACCCTGTAACTGACTAGTAGTGACCACGGAGTCTTGACACCTGGTTAAGTCATCCATGACCCGCTGCCAGATTTGCCAGCAGGAAAGGGCTTCTCGTGACCTTCCATCTTGGACCGCCCTCAACTCAGTCTGATTGTTAATTCCTACAAAGACAGGGATAACGACAAGTGAAAACTGTTCACTCTTTGGGATTTCACACTTAGGTCACAACAGTAGACTTGAATGCAACTCAATATGATTCTGCAGCCTATGAATTTCTCCTTATGAATAAAGTTCTCTGGTTTAAATGCTGACAGAAACCAAGATACAGTCTACTGAGCTCCCAACTATTAAGAACCAATAGAACCAGGGCTGGAGAGGGATGGCTCAGCAGTTAACAACACTGGCCGCTCTTCTAGAGGACACGGGTTCAATCACAACGTGTCACAACTGTCTGTACTGCCAGTTGCTGAGAATTGGACACCCTCTCCTGTCCTCCATGGGTACCAGGTATACACGTGGTACGCATAAATACATTCAGACAAAGCACCCACACAGATAAAATAATAATTTGCATTTTAAAAGAGAGAACTAATAAAAGCCACTTAAAATCAATTACCGACATGCTCTCTGAAATTCTTTTTCTTTTTAAAATTATGTATCTCTCCTACCATATGACAATGTCAACAGGAAGGGACATTTTATGGCACTCAGTTTTCCAGCCACTACCCAGAACCCTGCCTGCCATGTGTTCCAGCAGTATACAGGCGGCTTCTTAGTTCACGCTATCCAACTCCAAATCCGAGTCACAGAAGCAAAGAGCGTTTCAAGCAAAATCATGAAAGGGATCTGGACAGAAGTTCTGCTGAGAAATTGTCAAGTCCTGCCTAAGATAGGATGGTAGTGAGTTAACTCAGAATAGAATCAAAGGGTGAAGGACACACCCAAAGCAAAAGGAAACACAAAGACCAACCCCCGCCCCTCCCCGTCCCCTGAGCACTGGCTGACTTTCTGGACCCCCTCTGCTCTCATGGTCCTAAGTTGAGAGTCAAAATTCAGAGGCAATGAAGACTGTTATCATTGTCGTGGAAACAAGGAAAACAGTATTCTGGAGTAAGCCAAGCATGGTGGTACACACTTTTGATCCCCAGAACTCAGGAGGCAGCGGCAGGCAGATCACTGCAAGGTTGAGGTCAGCCTGCTTTACAGAGTGAGTTCCAGCCAACCAGAGATATATAGTGAGACCCTGTGCTCAAACCAAAGTCTTCCAACTTGATAAATGTAATATAACAGTGGACTAAATACTAAAATAACTTGTGACAAACATTTAGAAGAAATAGGCTACAAACTACCAGAGAACCACCACAAGCAGTAATGACATCACTAAATAGATCTACTCGACACACACACACACACACACACACACACACACACACACACACACTTTTCCCCATACGATCCTTGGGCTAACAATGGAATATTAATTTTACTGTAGATGTGAACTTTGGAAGAAGTTAATGGAATAAGTCTGGGTAAATCTTTAAAAGGCAAAGTTCCCTCTGACAATTTTCTTAGACTCTCTTCTCTGACAAAAGGAATAAGGAGACAGAATTTTACTTTTCCGATGGAAAAAGCCAAAGAATTAATCATCGGAATTCTCAGAGGAAGCACTCCCCAGGGATGTCGATGGAACTCAGCGCAATTGTCGGGCAAGCACAAGGCCTAAGGTTTGATGCCAGTGCCGGGGGTGGGGAGGGTGAAAACCATATTTAAACGTTATTTCCTATTTAAGTGAATGTGAAGTGCTATAATTGTTCAAACCCCGTCACAGAGAAATCTTACTCAGGCCGGGCGTTGGTGGCGCACGCCTTTAATCCCAGCACTTGGGAGGCAGAGGCAGACGGATCTCTGTGAGTTCGAGGCCAGCCTGGTCTACAGAGTGAGTGCCAGGATAGGCTCCAAAGCTACACAGAGAAACCCTGTGTTGAAAACTAAAAGAAAAAGAAAGAAATCTTACTCAGATGGGTCATCTCCACGGAACGAGTTCTTTAAGACATCCGTGAGTCAACCCGCACAAACCCACACTCCTGAGAAGTTAGAAGGATCCTATAGATTAATCTGAAGACAAGATCCACAAGACTGCTGCAAGGACCTAGGAAGAAGTCTGAGCATCTGGGGAGCAACAGGGACAGTGAACAGCAAGACCTATGGATGAGTCACATAAGACTTCGCCTAAATCTCTCTCCCCCTCTGGGTTGCCCTCTTCATTAGAGGCTTCACTTTTCTTTCTTTCTTTCTTTTTTTTTTTTTCAAGACAGGGTTTCCCTGTGGCTTTGGAGGCTGTCCTGGCACTAGCTCTGTAGACCAGGCTGGTCTCGAACTCAGAGAGCCCCCTGCCTCTGCCTCCCGAATGCTGAGATTAAAGGCATGCGCCACCAACGCCCCGAGGCTTCACTTTTCTTTCCGTGAGGGATTTATCTCATTTGGAAAGTTGATGCTCTGCAAACTTGCAAAAGCACAGATGGAAAAAGGCCATGCTAGAGCAAAACTTCATCTGCAACTGAGTCCTCATCAATACAATGAAAACTGTGTTTCAAAACTTATACACAACAGTCCAGTGAAAAATACCATTTATTTTATGACCCTCCTGCTGCCATAAACATATATTGCAAAAACAAAGTTTGAGTGACCTACATCTCCTTACTGGTTCTACAACTACTCACACAACTGGCCAGCTTTCCCTACAACATATATTGTTTTTCTCTAAGGAAGGCTGGGGTTTTCTACTATTTCATTAATTGCCAGTACAGGGGCTGGAGAAGCGGCCCTGCGGTTAAGACCACCTGCTGCTCTTCCAAAGGACCAGTTTGGTTTCCAGCACCCACAACTGCCTAACTCCAGTTCCAGGGGGATCCAATGCCCTTTTCTAGCCTCTGAGGGCTCCCACACCAAGGTCTCTCTCTGTCTCTGGCTCTCTCTCTCTCTCTCTCTCTCTCTCTCTCTCTCTCTCTCTCTCTCTCAAACACACACACACACACACACACACACAAATGATAATAATAAAAATAAATATCTTTTAAAAACTCACCAGTATAGGGGCTGGAGAGATGGGCCAGCAGTTAAGAGTGTTTGCTGCTCTTCCAGAGGACCCCAAGTTCAGTTCCCTGCACCCACATCCTGTGGCTCACAACCACCCATAACTACTGATGTACTGATGTCCATTTCCAGCCTCAGAGGGTACCCACAC